CTAGTATTCTTTGAGTTGTCACGTCCTCTTACTAGTCAATGTAAAATTCTTGAACAGTTTATTTTAACGTTACTTTCATATAAAAAAAATATTTTGAACTTTATTTCCATTAGTTCAGAATATACCAATACATAATATCAAGGGTAATATCAATCCAAAACTATGACAATATAGATATAAAGACATATAAATCCCTCTGAATTGAAGTTGTAAACTAGCTTGTAAGAACATACATCAATATTGTGTGGGTTCTACAACCTAATTATAGTGTGCATACTCCTTAAACTGCCAAATGTCATCCATGTTCCACATTGGATCTTGTGTCACATCCTCCTCGTACGTAGAATCAGCCACGTGACAATCTTGCAATTGTAAAATGTCTGAACTGCCCATAGTGGCCACCATGTAATCCTCCTCTAGGCAAGGGAAGGAGCTGTAACCTTCACTCACACATTGACTACTACTCCCTCGTGATCCGTCCAAGTACAATGAACATGTGGTTTCAAGATCAGACGACGACTCCATGACCATGAATTGTGATGTTTTCTTGAGATCTACCGACATAGAAGTGGAAAAATCTATGTTGGAAAATTCATGTGGGAAACTGCTGTCTTGTAAAACCGGTCCAAGTAAATCAGGAAGAGTAGCTTTACTGTTGGTGTTTGAGTTATCTTTCATTTTGTGGATCAATCTTGGAACCCAAAAGCTACGGACAACTTCCAAGAACTTGTGGCTATTGGAATCGATGTTGAGCTGGCGTGCTTGTTTCTGAACTCTTGTTCTCCAGTAGTTTTTTATATCGTTATCTGTTCTTCCCGGTAAATATTTGGCAATTTTGGACCACCTACGTAACATGTTACACGTTAGATTATATTCACAAGAAATATAAAGCTAAAGAGAGACAAATAAAGTACAGATTAACGTAATTAACGCACCTATTACCCCATTTAGAATGAAGCTCGAGGATTAAGAGTTGTTCTTGAGGGGTGAGATTCCCACGCTTTATGTCGGGTTTAAGGTAATTCAACCATCGTAATCTACAACTTTTTCCTGTTCTCTTTAGCCCTGCTTTTTTTTTTATTTGTAAGAAAGATACCAAATTAAACACAGTTTTATTTTGTTGTAAAGTAAAGAAATGTAAAGGAAAATAATATTACCAGAAGATTTAGCGAGCAGATTCCATCGGCCTTCACCGTTATGGGAAATGTAATTGTTGAGAAGAGTGTCTTCCTCAAGCGTCCAAGGACCTTTCCTCTGCTCTACACCCTCTTCATCTCCATTATTACACCTCTTCTTCAGTATATTTAACATATTTGTTTCCCAATTTTAAGTAAATATGCTAGCTTTTAGGTTTTATTCGTGGGTAGAGAGATGAGGTGAGGTGAGATCAAAGAGAATAAGATAGAGAGGCTTTTCTGATTTGAGAAGTGAAAGTGAATTCAATGGTGGTAGAGAATTTATAGACTCGTGATATTGGATAATGTTCGTACTTTCTTTTATAACATTAAATCATAGATGCCACACACCGAAACCACATATATTATTATTTTTTTAATTATGATTATTCACCCACTATATCAGTATTTTGGAATTGTTAAAATTTAACATGGCATGATTTATTTTATTTTTAATGTTTTCCAATACAATTATTTACATTTTCACGAATTTAAATAAATATACTACTACTATATATTTTTCATGACAGGGACAAACGTGTTGTAGAGACTAGTCAGTAAATCTATCCTTGAATTTTATAAGTTTATCTTTGTGTTTTTTTCAGCATTACATGTTAAGATAATATATGTTTATCTATTAATAATATACACTTCTTTATTTTCAAATATATAATATGGTCTTGTTAAATCGTTTGTCAAAAGGAATAAATTTCTTGTTATAAAAAATATCAAGGATGAAATCATGTACGATTTTGAAACTTAAGGAAGAGCCGATTGAAGAAGCTTTTTGCAACTTGTGAAAGAGTACACAAAGCATTTAAGTTGGACGTATGGAACATCAATCAAATCTTAGCACCAATGGAGGGACTCTTTAGCTATGCGAAGTCACCATCTCGGATTAAGATACTCTGACGCAACACGTGTCATTCTTGCAACTATATATGTTCCTTCTCAAATTCGTGATAATGTGATAAACATATAAATCAATTAATTCGTTGATGTGAAAAAAAAAAAACTTTCAATAGCAAAATCTCTATATGAAGATAAGTTGAGTGGGGCAAAAACAAAAGTGAAAAGATAGAAGAAACACATGGAAAGAAAGAAGAAAGGAACAACATGGGTGGAGACAGCCATACTAAATTAAGATTTCTAAATATAGAAAGTTATTAGTGGTAAATCGTGCCCATCAGTTTCTTTTTATGGAAACCCCTAGGTGGGTTGATTGAATGATATATAATCTAAAGTTGAAATTACGATGGTGTTGTTACGCCCGACTCATTAATTTGTGTATTTAGAGCCCCACTTCATCCGATGCCGACACGATGATTCAATTTTTCTTGCAGACAAGTAAATTTTAATTTCAGACCATATCATCATCCACCAATAATGAAATTTTTTTCTAACTGGATCATGAATTAATTGGTTAACAAAGAATCGTATATAGGACGTACTAGCTAGGAATAGTTGGCTCACTGAGGATCTTTCAATTCATCCGCCATCCAGCTCCCTCAACGCAGAGAAGACTAAACGGTTTGTACCTACTTTACGTATGCATGGTTTCGTTTACCATTGTTTTTTTTTCTTAAAGAACTTTGAAAAGGAGAATCATGCTTCAGTAACTCCCCATTTTCTGGACATGGGCTGAAAACAACGTGGGTCAAGAAAGGCATGTAAACATTTTGCATTTTACTAGTAAGCTAGGCCCATTTAATTTAATTGCAATAATTTAGCCAATTAATTCATTTCTTTTTCTTTTTTTTTGGGGTAAAATTTTAGCCAATTAATTCATTTCATCGTCTAAACATATATTGTATATTTGTAATGATTATTGCAAGTTTGGTGAGTTTATATGAAGACAGATAAAAACAGTTAACAACAATAATTTATCGATCGATCCGTATAACGTTCACCCGAGGTCCCAAGCCGAGAACTAGCAAAGTAGCAATTGTAAAAGATAAAATTCATCTGTCATATGAAATTGTCTAAAAATTCTACGTCCACTTAATAATTTTACATGAAAAAGTCCTCTTTTCTTGATAACACATATTAGGCACAGCATATTACTAAAGAGAGTCCAAAAACTTTATGACCATGGTCCATTATTAAGTCTTGGGATATCTAATTTATCAGTGAAACATGTTGAAAAACAAAACATGTACTTCTTATGTTTTTGACAACACAACATTTTACGTCGCATTTAACTGGATACATATTACGGTAAGGTGGTAAAATGAAAGTAGGGAAAAGGAAACAAAATTAATATGTGAAAGCGAGATATTCCCAACATAGAACTATTAGTAAATTGTATAGTTGCCTCATTATTGATGTAAGAAAATGGTAAAGTAGTAAAGCTAATCTTTATCGATAAAGATGGGCTTGGATTTTTCTGCCTCCTCACAATCATATTTATGTCATCAAAGTCAAATTTCTTAATTTCTATACTTAAAACATTAGGTTGTGTGGTTAACGTTAATCTTAAACATTAGTTTCCGAGAAAGGTGATCGCATAGCGAACTAGAGATCCACTCAAGGTTCTTAAGACCATTCCCACCACCTAAACTAATTTTGAGAAAAAAGTAATATCAAAAACTGATTTCTTTTGTTAGTTATGTAACATGAAATATTATGTTAACCATTCTTATCTCTTTTTACAATATATATAGTTTTAAGTCTCACCCAAAGAAAAAACTCTTAGCCGAGATAGCCGCTTAATGTTTTAAGTCGTCGTACTTAAGTTTTTGTCTGATAGCCTAATAATGCAAACTTGTGATGATCACTCACTCGTCGATCATAAATGCAATTTTTCTTCTGTTTCAATTTGGCACCATACTTGTTACATTAAAAGGGGATACTCAAAAGATCCCGGCAAGTTAGATATATCTAACATTAAACTTTGGTCCCACGAAATCTACTGCACAGTGGTAAATGGAAACCTAGCTACCAAGTGTCTCTTTGGTCTCACACGTTTCTTTCTCATTCTCACAAAGTCACACAATACAAGCGCAAATAATTACCATATCATTTTCTTAAAGACCTAAAATCTCTATTGATCCCCTTCAATGACTTTATCTATATAAACAACCACAACTCAATTGCAAGTTTTATGTCTTAGAGAAACAACCAAACTCACGAAAAGAATAAAATCATATTTTGGTTTGTTTTGTAGGGTTTCTCTAATGGCACGGTTTGAGCCATATAATTATAGCATTGGTCTTAATCCTTTCTTAGCACAACTTAACCATAATCCAGAGCTAATAAATTTGGACTCACCAGCTTCTACTCCCTCCAGTTTCATGCTTTTCTCCAATGGAGCTTTAGTTGATGCCCATCACAATAATTCTCACGTCTCACCAAATTTATTGCAAGGTGACTAGTTTTTTTTTGTGTGTGACAACATCTTTATATTCATCATTTAAGCATATATTTGTTCCCAACCTCTGCAGCTGATTCAAGAAGAAAATGCAATAAAGAAGAGAGAGGGTCGAAGAGAAGAAGAAAGAGGTTGGAGGAGGAAGAAACCATGAATAATGAAGAAGATGATCAGACTCATCAGAAGCCAAAAGATGTTGTACATGTCCGAGCTAAGAGAGGTCAAGCTACTGATAGCCACAGTTTGGCTGAAAGGGTAAGTATACAAATATTTGCTCAAACGTACAAACAAACAAAAAAAAAAACTAAACTTTTCTTAGATTCATATAATATCGAAACTGAAAAAATGGCTTGTATGTTGAATTCTTTGTGGAATGCATAAAGGTACGAAGAGAGAAGATAAATGAAAGGCTGAAATGCTTACAAGACCTTGTTCCTGGCTGCTACAAGGTTAAACTCACTCATTTTTGTTTAATAATTCAAATAAAATCGACAAATCTAGCTCCTTAACAAAGTAATTCGAGAAAAATTCTACAAAATACCAATTTTTTTCTGGTGCTATCTTTTAGTAGTTTAAAAAAACTTTATAAATGAACTTATATTTTATGATAGTCTACAAAGCTTAGAATTTTTAATTTTTTTTTTAAAGCTCAGAATTCTTTTATATGGAAATATTGATTTTTTTCAATTCGGGACACCAACGTTTAAATCACAGTGTATGGCAGCGTCACTTACGCAAATGAACAGAGAGTTATAAATAAAGGACCCTTTAAATAATCTAATGTCTAAACAACGACATTTGTTTTTTCCTTTCATCAAATTGGGTTTATTCTTTTTAATGATACTGAAATGTGATGCAGACAATGGGAATGGCAGTGATGCTTGATGTCATCATAGAATATGTTCGATCACTCGAGAATCAAATCGAGGTTAGGCCTTTTCTCTCTTCATTAACTTTTATAATAATAACCCAATATATGATCTATATTAATAAATGTGTTTGATGCAGTTTTTGTCCATGAAACTCTCTGCGGCAAGTGCTTACTACGACCTTAATTCTTTGGACATTGAGCCAACGGATATATTTCAGGTAATTATCACAATATGACATGAATAAATTATAAGTGTATTAATTATATTACTTAATTGTGATAACAGGGAGGGAACATGTCCAATGCAGAAGAGATGGAAAGGATTTTAAGAGAAAGTGTTGGGACTCAGCCTCCTAATTTCAGTTCTACATTTCCCTTTTAATCATAGAAAATAGTCAGAGAAATTATTCTCTTTCTCTATGATTAAACTTTATAAATAAAGGACTGACCATATCAGTGTATGTTTATCATAATTGTGTAAAAAACCTTATGAAGCTTATCCAATATAGACATATAGTATGTAGTTATGTACCTTGAAAGTTATAAAAGTAAAAGCTATGTTACAACTTACAAAGACACTATATTTTGAAGTAACATAACATTTTGATATTACAAGGGAAAGAGAGACGCAACAATTAAGACGTTTCCTTCAAAATACATACTCATACTTTTGGCTTGCAACAATTTTTGTTATGAGTCACTGAAGGCAAATTTGGGTCAGAGCATCGGCGATATGCTTCATCGATGGACGTTTCTCGGGGTTAGTACTAACGCAAGCCATTGCAATCTTCAGTACGGCGATGACCTCTTCTTCAATCTCTGTATCGTCAGGCACCAAATATGGATCCAAAATGTCTGACATCTCTTTCTTCTCATCGATACACATCTGTATCCACTTTACTATCTCCATTTCTGATTTACCCACAAAAACAATTGGTAATCTTCCCGTTATCAGTTCTAGCAATATCACCCCGAATGAGTATACATCCCATTTCTGTGATGGCTTCACTGTTGCTTTAGTGGCTTCAGGAGCCTGATAAAATGAGCTCAAGTTTGTAGATGGCCCGATCGATGAGGCGTTCTTGTTGGATGGTCGGTCAACTGTGGTTGATTCCAATGTTCCGGCAATGCTAGAGAGGTGCATGAGTCCGAAATCCGAGATATGAGGCTCCATATCCTGTCCCAACAATATATTGCTGAGTTTCAGAGATCCATGAACATACTTTTTGGGGCTAAACTCATGAAGATACACCAACCCTCTTGAGATTCCCCTCATAATCTTCAACCGAACTCCCCAAGACAGAGGCTTGAATGACACCATGCTGGGATTTCCTAACAATAGACAAAAGATAAAAATTGAGTTCTTAACACAGAGAAACGATATGAGAGTATTATGATAAAGGTTTATAAGTACCGTGGAGTGCACTGGCAAGACTTCCATTAGGAATGTAGTCATAGATGAGAAGCTTCTCCTCGACTGACCAATAATAAGCTTTAAGGCTGACGATATTCGGATGCCTTAGCTTCCCAATTGCTTCGACTTCTGTCTGAAACTCCTTGCATCTTTGGGATCCTCCTTCTCCCAACCTCCTAACAGCGACAGTAAGGCCATCTTCGAGGACAACTTTATACACAATCCCGTTCCCGCCTTTTCCAAGAACGAAAGCTGAAGCCTTGAGCAGCTCATCTAAATCCAAAGCCATATGTTTATCCAACAGAACAAGATCTTGTTGTGGCTCAAGATGTTCTGAAGAAGGGGACTCTGATCCTTCTCTTCCAAAACAGAAAGAAGCTTTCTTTTCTTTCCCTTCTTTCTCCAACACATAGCCTTCCTCATCGACACTGTTGCGACGTGCACATATCTTTAAGTAGCAACAAGAGAAGAGAAATCCCACAATGCAGATTCCAATGAAATCACAAACCACAATTGCAACAATAGCAGTTTTACTCAAACCATCTCCTTTCTTTGACCCTCCTCTACCGTTTTTTTCAGGTACAAACGGGTGAGAAGTTGGAGAATTTCCTGTATCTGGCAAACAAGGTTCCTTCAATGGAGGGCCACACAGCCTCGGATTCCCCAAGAACGCAGTTGGTCCTCTATTAACCAAAGCACCAGTTTGTGGGATAGGTCCACTCAAATTGTTGAAAGCTAGATTGACATACACTTTCTCAGGCAGATTCCCCAAACTAGCTGGTACAGAGCCGCTAAACGAATTATGAGACAAATCAAGAGTTCCTTGCAATCTAGTCAAATTACCCAAATCATCAGGAACAAGACCATTGAGATTGTTAGAAGAAAGGTCAAGCTTCTGCAAAGTAGCCAACGCATGACCAAATCCACTAGGAACAGAACCAGTGAGATTATTCTGACTCAAATCAAAGCTCCTAAGCCTCTTACACTTCAAAATCGATTCTGGAATCGACCCGTTTAGAGAATTACGAGAAAAATCCAAAATTTGCAGAAACTTAAGGTCACCAATCTCATTTGGAATAGACCCAGATAAGAGATTCCCATAAAGAACCAGACTTTGAAGCCCTTGAGCCTTAAAAAGCTGAGCAGGCAAGTTCCCACTAAGCTCATTGCTTCTCAAATTCAAATGGCGGAGATTAGTAAGTAAACCAAGAGAAGAAGGAAGATAACCTACAAGTCTCTTCCTTGGGATGCTAAGAGAGACAACAACCTTGTGATCATCACAAGTGACTCCATTCCAAGAACAAGGGTCTTGATTCTCTGAGTTCCAGTTACTCATGGAACCATCTGGATCTCTTGAAATAGACCGCTTGAGAGTCAAAAGAGCGTAGCCTTCGTCGTTCAGAGCATTCAATTCGCCATTGAAGTTCCAGATAAGAAGAAACAGGAACAAAATTGATCCCACCGACATCTCCGAGGAATCAGTGAAAGAGATTAAAGAGCAGAACTTGGACAAGAATTAACTTTTTTTGGTAAGTGAGAAATTAAGAATGAGAACAATTCGCGGAGATTGATGAGAAAATCAGAGAGAGAAAAAAAGTGAGAGTGTGAAAACATGAAAAGGAGAGTGAAGAAGAGACGTTGATAGAAGATTCGGCTTACTAAGTTGGACCTTTGGACTCTTCTATGATCGTATCTATTAATATCAACTCTTTTTTTTTTGGACACCAAACAATTTATTTTTGGCTTTTTTAATAATACTAATAAGAATCTGTTTTCATTAATGGTAAAGTAAACTGAAATCAATGTTGAATATTTTAAATGAAATAAAATGATGGGAAATACTACAAAACTTGAGAATTATGATGACAAATGTACAAAAGAGAAGTTCTTGCAGACAACAAATTCATGCATTTCTTCATAATGAAATTATGCCCATTTTTATTTAGCTCACATATTATGTAAATTGCATGCATTATACTTTTTTCTATATATTTTTTTTTTTGCATACTACTAGAATTTAATACAAAACAATAATAATCAGTAATTACAAACTACAAGATAAATAAATGATGTAATGGTTCAATAGGAGGAGTAAAAGTTGCAGTAGACAGGAACAGCCGAACAGGAGTGAGCTGCAGTAGAGAAAGACTCTTAGCTAATTAAATAAAGTAAAAAGCCCTACTTAGCTTCTACTTTATTTTGGTATTGAGAATAATAGAGTGATTAGTACGGCTCCATGATTAACCCACATTCTCTGTATAAACCATAAAGGGAACACCTTTATTACATTTGTTTTCCAGCCGTTAACACACATACATATGTATCATCAAGTAATCAATTCATAGATAAATGTGAATCATTATGTCTAATAATTGTCTAAAGTTGTCTAGCTATACCCCGAACGTATATCACTAGTACACACATACTAGTTGTGATACTTGATATGGAAATGTAATTTGAGTTAATAATGGAAATTTCTATCTTTGAAAAAATAAAATTTCTTTTTTTGTTGTTGTTGAGGTTTTACTATGGTGATGAAACTGTGGATCCTGATTCTAAATAGTAAGATTTTTTTTGTTTTTTTTTTGAGGTTTTTACTAGCTAGCAATTATTGAAAACTAATTATTTTAACAAAAGAAAACAAAAATCCATTATAAAATTTCCTAGACAATCTAAGAACATGAATGACACCAAAAAAGTAATAGCAATTCCGATAGGATTGAAGAAAAGTGTTGCTAAAAGAGACATCATATACATTGAACAGACATGCCTGGACCTGTGTTAATTATATGATTTGCTTTCTTAGCATATTAATCATCTATACCACCAATACAATACATATATAATAACTGAAAATGAATGTTCTCAATCTTTTGTAAATTAGATTGCACACAAGAATACAACAAAGAGAACATAAAATGTTTAAACTAGCATTTCATTACCACGTACCACTTATATTTTTTCAGTAAAAGCACTTTAAAGTGTGCCCCCAGTAAAAGAGATGGATGCATGAAGCAGCAAAGTATCATGAGTAGTAGACTGGAGAATAGACAATGGTACGCTCTCCGACTTTGGCACGTGCTGAAACAGGAGCGTGTGTGTGTCGGGAAGTTAGCCGTTGCCGTTGAGCGCCCTTGGAACATCAAATTGACATCATTACCAAACGATGCATATTATATTTTGTCCGCGGAAATACTATGGCCTCCCTTTGCTCTTTTCTGAATTGTTTTTTTCTTTACAGTTGTCTTTAAATATACTTAACCAAAACTACTAAGAAATGTTTACGAAACGAATTTTCATTGATACAAATTTTTTTTATCTACACAGTGTAACGCTACAAAATTGGATTCAATTGTAAAATGGAGTGTCAGTATCATAGAAAATTCTAAATAAAATCATAATCCAGCAAACATGTGTATAACATCAGTTTCACAATGACTATCATTACAAGTTTTTACAATTTAAACATATGTTACTATAGATTGAATCAGAATATAAGATATTGTAATCTTCTTGACATCCTTTTTAGTATGTTTTTATTCAAGAAAGTTTTTAGCTGACAATTGACGGAGAAAACAAACTCGAGAAAATATTCTTAAAACCGGACACTCTCATGGGCAAAGAGTATTCCAAACTCTCTTAGTAACTCTAAAGGTTCTCACGAAACCATTCAAATATTAAAATCTACATGATCACTACAAGCTAGATTACATCTTTCTATGAAAATATTTTAAATATTTGTATCAAACGTAGGGATCAACTCCTGATGCGTGTGGTGTACTGACTAAACGAGTACAAAAGCCACGTGATGTCGTAAGGTCTCAATGTCGTATCCTGTCTGTATATAGCCTGCATCCCAAAATCTCTATTTTTAAAAAAATTATGACTAAGTCAAGAAATGGACACGTTACATTTCTTGGTTATCTTTATATGTATCTTAGATGTCCACCTTATATAAATTATAACTTTTATTAATAGAATTGGTAACTTAGTGACGAAGAGTATCTTTTGTGCGGCAAACGTTGTTGTTTCTCGCCATGAGTAGTACTTACATATCTATCCTCTTCGATATATAAGTACCCCTTGAAGTGTCTGCGTTAAACTCAAAATATCAACCAACTAATCAATAAAGCATCACATATATCTATCAAAAGAATGAACAACGATGAAGAGTTTCTTCGGCTATTGAACTCGCTGGATAATCCAGAGGCGCATAGGATCAATAGCGAAGGAGGTGAAGACAATGTAAGTCGAAAGAGGCCAGCTGAGTCGAGGAGACACGGAAAGAAGAATAGAGTTAAGAGACAGTGCGTGACTAAATCTTCAGACAAATCTCGTGATGATAAATTGTTGGCGAAGGTAACGTATAATAGTTGTGTTTGTTATTGATGCTTCTGTCCCAAGAAACTCTTGGTTTCCACTTTTTGTTTTTCTTCTTTAAATTAGGAGATAAAGAGGGAGCTTATAAGAAGCAAACTAGAAGCACTTAAGGAAGTCACACCCAATTGCCCAGAGGTTCACAACCTCTACCTCATTATTTGAGTTTTTTCAATTGGGAAATGTTAGTTTTCTTTATGTTCTTATTTTCTTTCAAAATTTGTAGTCGGATATCAACGCCATCCTTGATTGTGCTATCGAGTACTTGAAACACTTGCACCTTGCAATTCTTTTTAGAGGTAAGAATTTTATATGGCCGTACGTGGTCATTCTAATTAGTTCATATATCCAAGATTATCTTTCTCGTTTTTTAGACCACTCTTCATTTGCAGTATTACACGAATACATATGGAACATGTGACGACGACTGGAGACTGTTTACTTAAGCTGGTGCTGTTTAGTATAACATGCCACTTCTAGAGTTTCAGTTATGTTGTTCTTATTATCTCAGATGTTGTTCTTTTTTTGGTTATAATTAAGTTGTATTGTATGTTTTCTGTTTAATGTTACGTGTTTTGTTTAAGCTACGAGAGAGACCATCTTTAAATTGCGTTCAGAACTTAATAAAGGACTTTGGCAAACTAAGTTATGAATTTGCACCCTTTAATTTTCTTTGTTAAACCTTATGATATGTTTTATGTATAAGTAATATAATATGATTGTATATGTGTATGAAAATTAAACGATCACCAATCCAGTTTGTACGAAGAGCATACTAAATTGACTTAAGACGATCATCTATTCTTAAAGTACAACTTTATTCTTTCTCTGACTGTCTGACATAACATAACTTGTTTTGATCATAAACTATTCAGTGTTAAAAATTATAATAGGAATAACTACATGACATTGAAATACTAAAAATCTTTATAAAATCTAAATCCAATAATCTACCTAATTAAGATTTAAGTGTTTAGCAAAATTAATTTACATCAATCCTGAGCAGATAGTTTTTCTGTTGTCAAAAGGTCTTGCAAAAAGGTTGAAACCTTTGATTCTAATTCGATCCTTGCCAAGAGTGTATGATTTACCTCTTACACATATACTACAACGACGGATACTGGACAGTAGATTACGGCTTAAGGGATGTGAGGGAGAGACTCTCCTCTAATACCGATACGACCAGAGGACCTATACAATCCAATATTTGTGTTAAAACTTTTTCTAGAAGAAACCAATCTCATAGAACATAGAGATAAAACCACAAGGTAATCACTTTAACAGTAGTTCATAATCACTATTTAAGCCTTCTTTATCAGAAGAAATACAGGCTAAGTTGCAAACTACCTAACGTGTTCCATACGCTATATTCTATACAAATATTAATTCCCAAACTCATAATAAGTATTGAAAGATACCTTGACGTGAAAGAAACCCCCTTCATGCCGCGTTTTCTTGAATCTCCGGCACATTATCTAACCTAGAAGAATGTTCTGTAGGCGGAGGTAATGCATAAGCAGCCATTGGATAATTAACCATATGTGGCTGCACCGGCCAGACTGGTAAATAATAGATTATCAATGGCTGCTGCTGGGGCAACGGCTCTTGAACCATTGGCCGTGGCTGGTCTTGAATTTCTACTAATTCTGTTTCTCTATCTGATAATCTTCCGGTATCATCAGCGGCTGCTGTATTTTCCGGCGGCAATATAGAGGCGGAGGTTGTAACAACCTCGTCCTTTCTTCTATTCTCCTCCCCCGCAGTTGCATGGACCTTGTCCCCTTGGACAAACAGAGGCGGACCACTACTTGGCGGGAAAATCGGGCTGGCAAGAACGGAAGATGAAGAGGTGAAGATCGGTGATTCGAGACCTAGCAACCTGTTAACCGTCACGGACTGTCGTGTTAACTCCGGGTGATTTAACGGGAAGAGGAAGAGACGGATACGCCGGAAACGAGTGGAGTCATACTCGGCGATCATGTTCTCTAGATCATCGTTGTCTGAGACGGTGATGAGAGAGTCGAAGTCGCAGCCAGGGAGCTTGTACTTGAGAGAGAAGGATCGACCAGAGAGGAGCTTTTCGGAGAGAAGCTTGAAGAAGTCGACAAAGCATACGCCACGTGGAACGACGACTAACCGCGTCTCGCCGCCGATGTAGTGGAGATAATTCTCCGGTGGGAGGGGTATTATACGGCCACCGAAACTACAGAGCAGACGGAGCTTGGGATCTAACGACGGAGCTGGCGGTTCCATGACGGCGGCAGCGATTGCCAGAGTCAAAACAACAATAATCACACAGAGAGAGAGTCTCAATTGATTCGTGTGAAGTACGTACTAGGTTTGACTTAGAAGGAGACAAAGTTTGTAACCAGAACTTTGATCGGCAATAAGAGAATTTAGGGTTTTCTGTTTCTTATATCGTCACCCAATTTGGTTTGGAATTAAATTTTAAGTTTATCTTCTTCTAAATCAATTTTATCTTTAATAATTAATAAGCTTGATAAACATATATAGAGCTTTAAAAATATATTTTTGTATTCTACATATTTAATTTTTATTATATATATATATATATATATCTATATAATACTAAACAAAAGAAAAAAAAATAAAAATTCATGATATAAAATACAATACATGTAGTTAAACAATATCATACAATTTATTAGTATTAATATATTTGACTGTATAATAAAACAAAATACAGTATGTTAATTTATTGGCATATATATGTAGAAGAAGATATCATATGGAATGAGGAAGGATCGTATACGTATATACTATCTTTGTCTTCTTATATTTTCATACAATTATGGAAGAAAAAAAAAGAAAATTACTCACATAAAAATTCAGCAGATATACTGGCTCTTCAAGCTAGGTTTTTTTATGTGATAATTATGGTTCTATATGTGGATTAAAAGGGCTAAGATTATTAATTGTGGGTCTAGCTGTCTTAATGTTTTTGGATATAGAAGTATAGCACAGGGGATGAAATTACTGTTTGGAGTTGATTGCAAGAATCGCACACTTTGATCTGAGATATATAATATAATAGAGAGCACCATTGATGTTCTCCCTCTCTAGTTTCTAAAATTATAATTTCATGTGATATGCACCTAGTTATAATCGATGGATTCACCAATATTTGTAATAGGATTAGGAAAAAAGAAGTTCCACATTATACATTTGTTGGGGATAAACATCAAAAAACAAAATAAACATATACTTTTTGGGTAATATGCTCGAATTAGTCAATCCTTATATTTTATTGTGGTGTTAAAGTTTGTATTTATAAAGTACTAGATGATGACCCGCACGTACGTGCGGGATTGATTTCAAAAACAAAATTTGTTATAAAATTTTCAAATATATTATGTACGTACGGGATTATGTTTGTAAACGTAACTTATAGGAATTTTATTAACATTTATAATCTAAACCAGTATCAAGTCAATATTTGATTTTTTTTTTAAAATTAGGTTAAACAAAAAAACCGATATGATTTAGTTTTATTAAAGACAGTTGTACTTGTACCTTAAAAAATAGTAAAACAATTGTAGTTTGTCAATTTCGGGACATAAATCTTGTCTCGTGTGTCTTAATATGTCATGTTTTTCCATTCCATAAGCATTTTAATTATTTACCCATTTGAGATTGTATATTTTAGTCAAACATATAAGAAAATAGGTCAACGATTTAGACTTACACATAAATGTAGGGTTCTATTTGTAGACATATTTATCCACTATAGCATTTATAACATAAACTAATATTGGTTTGCGTTCATGAAGTTTGTGAATATCGGATCGACAGGATAGCAGATCCAGACTGAGTGTGAACCGTGAGCTATCAAATACGTCCGCTATGCATGCTCCACACTAAATACATATTAAAATATTTTGACCAGCAAAAAATACATTTCTTGTAATCCACTTTAGTAAATAGGATGTCTCCATATGTTCTTCTTAAATTCACGTTACCCAAAATTTT